TTAAGGGCGGATAACCAAAGTTAAAAATGCTCAGCAAGTGTTAGAATTGTTAGAGGTGGGGCGGGAGCGGCGGCTCATGCCTGTAATCCCAGCACTTTGGGAGGCCGAGGCAGGTGGATCACTTGAGGTCAGGAGTTCGAGACCAGCCTGGCCGACATGGTGAAACCCCGTTTCTACTAAAAATACAAAAATTAGCCGGGCGCAGTGGTGCGTGCCTGTAATCCCAGCTACTCGGGAGGCTGAGGCAAAACAATCTCTTGAACTGAGGAAGCGGAGGTTGCAGTGAGCCAAAATCGTGCCACCGCACTCCAGCCTGGGCAGCAGAGGGAGACTCCGTCTCAAAAAAAAAAAAAAAAAAAAAAAAAAAGAGTTAGAAGCGATAAAGGCCCCACAGGAAATAGCCGTAATGCATTGCCCCGGCCATCAACGCAGTAATTCCGAAGTGGCAAGGGGCAATGCTTTCGCAGACCACACCACCAGGCATTCAGCCAGTGATAGCATCAAAATCCAGGCGCCCTTAATTCCCCAAATAGACTTCAAGGCCCTCGAGCCCCGATATGCTTCTGAAGATGAAAAGGCTGCAGAAGATAAGGGATTCAAACTAAATGAGGTGGGGTGGAGCCATAGAGAGGAAACAGCGCAGGCATAGTCTGGGCAGCAGTGCGTCTCGTCCGCCCCCTGTTAAAGTACGTTCACGATAGCCTGCACTTTGAGAGAGACGCTTCGCTGGCCTTTGTATAAAATTATTTGAAAGGGAAAGGACTAAAGGCCCACTTAGAGAATATCATTTAACACTGTCATCTGTATGCCCGGAACGAGCCTAATAATCATAGCCAAGGGCAGCCTGGGCAACAAGAAAGAGGAAGGTACTCACTAGAAAACCAGCAAATAGACTTTACACAGATGCCACCAGCCCCTGGGGATGCAAATACCTCCTAGTTCTAGTGGGGACTTTCTCTGGCTGGGAGGAAGTGTGCCCATGTCGCTCTGAACACGCAACTGAAGTAAAGTTTTGCTGAAGGAAAGCATACCACGATACGGGCTCCCTGATGTAATCCAAAATGATAATGGGCCTTCACTCACCTCTGAGATAACTCAACAAATGAACAAAGCATTGGAAATGAAGCGGACGCTGCACTCAGCATGAAGACCTCATTCTTCCGGACAAACTAAGAGAATGAACCGCAGCCTAAAAACATTCATTGCCAAGTTGTGTCAAGAGGCTCCACTGAAAAGGACTCAGGTACTTAGCATAGCACTGCTCCCTGTAAGTGGGATTAAAATAAGTCCCTGTGAAACTGTCTCTGGTAGACCCTTTGCAGCTAATCTGTCTCAGGCCACCAAAGTGCCCCTAGATAGGGAGTTGGCTGTTAAGAATCATGTTGCTGACTTAGGACAAACTCTTAACGTTTTGCATAAGTTTGCTTCCAACAGGGATGCGGTGAATTCCACAGACACCTGGCACCCACTCCTACCTGGCAATCAAGTACTGTTGAGGGAATGGAAGGAAGCCACAACGGGAGAAATGGAAGGGCCCTACCACGTGCTCCTGACCACGGGCGCAGCGCTGAAGCTGGCAGGCATCAATCCTTGGGTCCATCACACGCGAGTGGAAAGACCCTTGCCGGCCGAGAACCCTGCAGCAGAGGAGTCTCCCGCCACGGCTGGGAAGCAGAACCCCTAAAAGGCCCGAAGTTTCCATTCAGAAAATACCAGGACTTTCTCTTCTAGCGCTCTGTCTTGCGATGCCTCTCATCATTCCTGCTCTTACCTCTCATCTTCCCTTACACTGGGCACAGGACTATGCAGATAACCTACAGCCAGCCTCCTGCAGGATCTGTGGCCTCTCACCCCTTTCCAGCACCTCAGGGCTGCCTTGGCGGGGGTCGCCCATCCAGGGGAAGGACTGGATTTACCGACAAACCTTTCTGGGAAATCTAAAATCTCGGACTGGGTCACAAATGACAGGAGTCACCAGGGCAAATGTCTCAGAGTGGCCCATAAACAAAACTTGAGACGGCCCAGGGCACACAAGACCATTCTCAGTAAACAAAACAAGGGATGATGCAACGGCTTTAACTATGCCCTTGCCGAGTCTGAAGGTGGATGTCCAGGCTATTATACCACAAAATGTCCGGTATAAAAATGGCTTTCTTCGAATTTAGAATGGATTTATTTGACTAACTGCCTCCACCGGACATTGAAACCAAGTAGCCCCCTTATGCTGCAAACACCAGAACCCCTCCCTTGACCAGTGGCTTTAAAGTAACTCGAATCCTGGGATGGATCCCGCCACACATTGACCACCGGCCTAACGTAACTCGGATCGTGGCACGGATTCCGCTGCACATATTAGAGTGCCCCAACAAAGAGATCTGAGTTTTTATTTGTGTTTTGTGTTTTATTTTTTTTGAGACGGAGTCTCTGTCACCCAGGTTGGAGTGCAGTGGAGTGATCTCGGCTCACTGCAACCTCTGCCTCCCAGGTTCAAGCGATTCTCCTGCCTCAGCCTCCAAAGTAGCTGAAATTACAGGTGCCTGCCACCACACCCCGAAAATTTTTTTTTTTTTTTTTTTGAGACGGAGTCTCGCTCTGTCGCCCAGGCAGGAGTGTAGTGGCTGGATCTCAGCTCACTGCAAGCTCCGCCTCCCAGGTTCACACCATTCTCCTGCCTCAGCCTCCCATGTAGCTGGGACTACAGGTGCCCGCCACCTCGCCTGGATGGTTTTTTGTATTTTTTAGTAAAGACGGGGTTTCACCTTGTTAGCCAGGATGGTCTCCATCTCCTGACCTTGTGATCCGCCCATCTCAGCCTCCCAACGGATAATTTTTATATTGTTTTAGTAGAGACGGGGTTTCACCATGTTGGCCAGGCTGGTCTTGAACTCTGGCCTCAAGTGATCCACCCGCCTCAGCCTCCCAAAGTGCTGGGATTACACACGTAAGCCACTGTGCCCGGCCCACAACAAAGAGATTTGTTTGCCACTGACTGGTCCCAATGACCTGGCCTACACTGGGATGCCCCTGAAGGAACCCAGTGGCTTTGTGGCACCATTTTATGGCCACGGCTGCCCTCGGGCACGGTGAGACGCTGCACTCTAGGCCTCCTATGGGCACAGGGACCCTGGTAAAAACCATCCAGAATCCAGCCAGTCTCCCACCTATGCTTAACAGATGGATCAGTTCAGTCTTTCACAGGGACGGTCATCTGGCCGCAATCTTTACGCCCTCAGTAGGCTTAGAAAGGGTCATACGGCAGCCAGAGGCTAATTTTCTGCAGGGAGCATTAAATGACAGTCTCCAAAGTGTTTCCCGTGTGAATGCTGAAATGCACCATAGGTGGAAAGCTACCTTGCAAAATCAAACAGCCCTAGACATTCTAACAGCGGCCGGGGGGACCCTGTGCCCTCATCAGAACCGAATGTTGCATGTATGTACCTGACAATCCCGGGAATATTTCTCTGGCATTAAAGGGACAATCACGGGAATATTTCTCCGGCATTAAAGGCTCTGCATCCACAGATGCAGGTCACCTCCAGTCCTAGGCTATCAGTTAATGGCCAGATCGCATCGTGGCTTAGCAGAGGGCCTCCCTAGGGGCTGAACATCCTTGCAGTCCAGGCCATCCTTGCAGGCACCGGCATCGTTTACGTTGTGGAATGTATTGCTGTTGCATACTGTTCCAAAATATCCCTCCAGTTCATACTCTTTCAGCAGGTGCTGCCTCTAGGCCCCCGAAACAGAGAGTACTGCTGGGAACAAATCAACCTCCTTCACTCCAACACTGCATTCAGTGCCCCGTAACGACGACCTCCTATCAGCAGGAGGTAGCCAGAAAGACTATAATGCCCCATCCCCCCATGATTCTCATAATAAATACCTATGCAAGCATGATAGCAATCATGCATAATTCGACAGTGGGGACTGCGGCAGGCCAGGTCTCACTAACGGCTGAACAGGCCGGCCTCCATGACAACCGTCTCAGCACTGACTGAGTGGTGAAGTTAAAGATTAAAAGCTGAGAGAGCCAGCGCCCTTCAACAAAGGCTGGAATGTAATAAAAGCCCACCAAGAGTTTTGTCCAGGCCCTTCCTGGGCCTTGAAGCATGACAAGATAATGAAGGAATTCTTAACGGGACCCGTTTAGGATTAAACAAGTTTTATTGGGATCTAAAGGAATGCCCCCAAACTTCCATGATTCAGCAGGAGATGAGATAAGGGTAATCAACCCCTGCACCTGGACCCCCCTAAATTAGGTAAATTTACTGAGGCTCCAAAGGAAGGTCTTTAGGACTCAGGCCTTAGTTATAGATTAGCAGAAGTTCATCACTTCTGTCTTTAGATGAATGCACACGTACACGTAGACATACAGCTTCAAAGGTATAAAAGCTCTGGAAAACTGCAATTTTGAGTTGGTCTGGTACTATTTTCCCGGCCTTCTCCCTGTACCCAGGGACAGAAGCAAACTCTCTACTTTCCCAGCTCGTCCACATCCCATTACTGGACTGAGAGAATAAGGAGAGAATAAGCACCTGGCCCTCAGTTGAGTCTGGGGCCATGGTGACTCACGATAGGCTCTGGCCCCAGATGCTGTGCTGGGGAAGGAGCGGGAGGGGGCGGGAGGGGAACAGGGACACCCTGTGCTCTGCGGTCACAGCCACCATGGGTCCTCTTGCAGGCTGAGAGAGAGGCTGTCCCCTGCCTTTGGGACAGGGTGCCTGCCTCCAGCGAGGGGACAGCAGGTCCCTTTGTCCACAGGTCCAGGAAGCTCCCACAAGGGAGTGGGTGATCTTCCCACAGTGGACAGGGCACCAGCCTCAAGGCCTTTGACTGCATGCCCAGTGGGCACAGGATGTGTGTGGACGGGCCAGGGAGTGGGCCGCCCCGCGGGGCTGGAAGCCACAGGGCAGCAGGGTATAAAAAGGGTGGGCCAAGGGCCGAGGCATCCACGGCAAGGATGGCTCTGCTTCTGCTGAGCCTGGGGCTGAGCATCATCGTGGCCCAGGAGTTCAATCCCCGCGCCGTTGTGCAGAGGAACTACAACATGGCCAGGGTGCGTCTGCGTTGGGGTCTGTGGGGAAGGGGCCAGACTTCAAGGCAATGGTCCTCCCCCAGCCTGGGGTCTCTGACCTGTGACCAGGGCGGCTGGTCCAAGGGGAACCCAGCTCTCCTCCCTAGGCTGTGACAGCAGCCTGGTAGGGCAGGGGTTACTCCGGGAGGGTCAGGCCGGGGAGGCCTGGGAGGGCAGCGGTTACTCCGGGAGGGTCAGGCCAGGGAGGCCTGGGAGGGCAGGGGTTACTCTGGGAGGGTTGGGCAGGGGAGGCCTGGGAGGGTGACTGGGGTCCTGAAAGGTTAGAAGGGGCCCTGGGAGGGCAGAGGGGAAACCTGGAGAGTGGAGTGGCGGCCAGCAGGGAGACTGCTGCACATGCAGCGTCCGTTGTGTCCACCGCCAGGGTCACCAGTGTCACGATGTCCATCGTCACCGGGGCGCCCCTTGTGCCCCTTTCTGGCTGAATTCCTGTACTCCACTTTGTAACCTCCGAAAATCAACGACGTGGTGTGCCCCGGCCGCTCTGCGGTTTTGTGAGTTTGAGAGCATCATAACCAAAACATGCAGTCGTTTTCACATTCTCCTGACGGATGCCCAACCAACAATCCTTTACCCACAAAATCAGCCGCAGATTGGCTTGTACCTCCCTTTTATTCACGCCAAACATGGAGGGGGCGCAGCACCTGCCTCCCGCTGTGACCATTGTTCTACATCATACTTCCCCCAGAGGCAGTGGCTGACCCAGGGAGGGGAGGGGCAGAGAGGGAGGACCAAGGAGGGAAGGGTGGGAGGCAAGGGTAGGGCCTCTGGGCCAGTTGCTGTCTCCACCCGCAATCTTCTGGGGCCACCACGCATCACAGGTACATCCTCCTTTACCTCAGGGACCTCATGCAGGAATGCAGATTGCCTTTAGAGCATGTCTCCGGAGGCCAGCGCTCTGGGAAGGAAGAGGGCCCTGCGAGTTTTTACTGGGCTGGGACCATTTGCTGAGAGGAGGGCAGCTCAGAGAAGGACCTGTGGTGGCCTGAGTGGTGACCCTCAGAGCATGCTGCCTAATACTAGTGCCTGAGCCTGTGACAGGGCATCCTGATGGGAAAGGGTCTTGCAGGGTGTAAGTTACGTCATCTTGACAGGAGGAGATCCATTCTGGATGAACATAGGCCCTAAATCCGAACGACAGCGTGTCCTTAAAGAGACAAAAGAGAACACAGACAGAGGCAGAGGCCTGGAACGACACAGCCACGAAGCCGAGGGGGATGCCTGGAGCACCCCCAGCAGCCAGAAGAGCAGGAGGACCCTCCCCAGGAGCCTGCGGAGGGACACACA